TTTTCTGAATATCATGTTTTTTCTATATGTTCATATTTTAATTGAGAGTTAGCTATTAAATATAACTTGTCAGTTGTACCAATAATTTTTTTGTATCATCCCATGTTCCTAATAATTTTTAGTCCTAAATTTTTTCGTCTATACTTGGGTCAAAAATATCTATCGTTGATGGTTTTTATAAGGTCGATTTACATTTAAACTTGTTCTATGTTCTATCAGCCTCATCTCTATAATTCCGTTCCATTTCGGTCAAACAGTGGCCTCAATTTTTGTTATCATTTATTAATAATCCATTGCTAAGCGAGAAATATATTGCAGTTTCACGACAACCTACTCCTACATACTCTTAATATTTAAAAACTTCTTATATTTTACATCAATACTGAATGGTATGAATTCTTTTCATGCTTCAGTGAATCTTATTAAATTTGTCCATTTATAACATTTAGTATATCATGTGCTATTTATGTAATACTTAAAAGTCCTTATAGACCCCTCGTACATAGAAGCACAACTCTATTTTATTTTCACATTTAATACATCTTTTTCTACCGAAAATTTCTCATTCATAAACGTGGGTGCTTTTATTTTCTTTATAGATCATGCTAGTAATGCCAACCTCGATGTCCGGACAAGCTTAGCGACTGGTTCTTGTCTACCAGAGCCCAGCTTCTTTTTGCCCACCATTATGTCCCCTCAGATAGATGGCGCTTCTGGCCAGGTTCCTCTATCCACCAGTAGTTCTTCCAGCAGACCAGAGGCTCTGAGTCAGGCTGCTGCCCTAAGTGGCGGTATAGTATGTTCCAATCGAGTTTCCGAAAAAATCCGGCAACTCGTAAATACTTTAAAACGACCAAAGCGCAGACCACTTCCAGAGTACTATCTGGACGAGGATGACCAAGTCCTGGTACAACCGATACTTGATCCGACCGCTCCGCGTCCCAGAGGCACAGTCACTGAACCTTTGATAGGAGAAGAACTAGTCGTAAGTCCTTTCAAATTAGCATATTTTATTGTAAATCTCAGTCGATAGATTCTATATCAAGACCCAGTCTTATTTATCAGCGGTGATGTGTAACTGCTCGATTGTTGTTAAAGGCTCTTGTACTTCAGATTCCCTCAATTATTTCAGATAAAAGCTCAATTTTGCAGTAGTTTTTGCTTCATTTCTTCGGGAGACGCATTCTCATCCAAAAAGGGCTGCAATTTAGATATCGCTTAGGTGACGTTAGCTCTTTCAAAGGAATTTTAATAAATTTTATTAAATCGTCATCCTTGTGTCATTAGCGGACCAACAATTATAATAGGAACTAAGCTCACTAGTCCTTAACTCCTAAAAAGGTAGATTGAAATGACTTGGCCTTTTGTTTGGTCATAGTATCCTCTAGCTGTATGGTTTGACCTCGTTTTATCAATCTAGTCCTGAGTCCTCTAGATTAGTATTTGTGATAATTTCCTGCATCGGACAAGTATTTTTAATAGTAAGCTATAAC